ATGCATGTATTTTCATGCACTTCAATTGAATGTCTTGACCAAGGGTCCTCAAACTTTTTAAACAGAGGGTCAGGTCACAGTTCCTCAAACTGTTGGAGGACCAGATTATAATTTGAAAAAAACATGAATGAATTCCTATGCACACTGCACATATCTTATTTGTAATGCAAAAAACACTTTAAAACAATACAATAATTAAAATAATGAACAATTTTAACAAATATAAACTTATTAGTATTTCAATGGGAAGTGTGGGCCTGCTTTTGGCTGATGAGATAGGATTGTTGTTGTTGTGTGCTTTCAAGTCATTTCAGACTTAGGTTGACCCTGAGTGAGGGCCGGGTAAATGACCTCGGAGGGCCGTATCCGGCCCCCGGGCCTTAGTTTGAGGACCCCTGGTGTGCACATTTCCTTCAAGGTGTACAGTATACATACATTGTTGTATACTGTATACATTGTTGTTTGCTAGGGTTCCTTACACAGGCACAGGCCTGGGCAAACTTGCCCCCCCCCCCCGATGTTTTGGACTTCCACAATTCCTAACACACAAACAGGCCTGGGCAAACCTGGGCCCTCCTTCCAGGTGCTTTGGACTTCAACTCCCACAATTCCTTACAAATGCCTGGGCAAACTTGGGCCCTCCCTCCAAGCGTTTTGGACTTCCACAATTCTTATCACAGGCACAGACCAGGGTAAACTTAGGTCCTCCCTCCAGGTGTTTTGGACTTCAACTCTCACAATTCCTAAAACAGGCACAGGCCTGGCCAAACCTGGGCCCTTCTTCCAGGTGTTTTGGCCTTCCACAATTCCTAACACGGACACAGGCCTGGGCAAACTGGGCGCTCCCTCCAGGTGCTTTGGACTTCCACAATTCCTAACACAGGCACAGGGCCTGAGGCTGTTAGGCACGGTGTGAGTTGAAGTCAACAACACCTGGAGGGAGAGCCCAAGTTTGCCCAGGCCTAGGGCAGAGCAAGGCCCCTCCCCTCTCTCTCCCTCTCTGTACTCTCCTCGCTCTGCTTCCCCGGCCTGACCTTCCCAACATGGCGCCGCGCCGCCCCCTTGACGCCGCCCAGCGCCCCCCTCCCATCGGGGCCTCCTCCTCCTCCTTCTCCTGCTCGGTGGGCCGGGCCTCTCGGGAGAGCCAAGGTTCAGCTCCCGACGCTGAAACCGAGGCAGAAAGAGCGTACAAACGGAGGGAGGCGAGTGTGAGGACGTCACGGAGGACGGCGGCTGCGCTGAAGGGAAAGGAAGGGAAGGGAGACTCTCTCTCTGTCTCGCTGAGGCGCCTCAGTCTCTTGGAAGAGGAGGAGGAGGAGGAGGAGGGGGGGGGGACGGAGCGGCCGCCTCCGCACCTGTCTCTCCGCCCCGAAAACGGAGCGAGGAGGACGGCAGCGGCGACGAGTGGGTGTAGCCGGCGCCAAGCACCTGGCTCCCCTCCTCCCTTCCCTTCCCTCCTCTTCCCTCTCCGCCGAGGAAGGGACTCGCGAGGAGGATTGGCGGCGAGGCGGAGGAGGCCCGGCCGCGACCTGCTTCTCCGAGGAGACCCGTGCTGTCTTCCTTGAGGCGGAGGAGGCCTCTGAAGAGACCCCCCTGCCTTCCTGCCTTCCTCGCTGGTGGGAGACCTCAAAGGGAGGGCGTGCCTTTGCTGTGGCTGTGTGTGTGTGTTTTGAAGCATATACATTTATATAGAGAGAGACACACACACAATAACAACCTCTTGCGGCCGGAGGCGCTGGAGCCGCAGCGGGAGCAGCAGGAGGATGAACCCCAATGTCACCTACGCCAGCCGCAAGCGGCGGAAACCCGTGCAGAAAATGTAAGCCGGGGCTAGGGGAGGGGAGGGGAGGGAAGGGAAGGGAAAGGAAAGGGGGCTCGCCCTTGAGACTGAGGCTCTCCCATCGCTTCTGCGGGAGGCCTTTCCTCCCCCGCCCTAGGCCGCCCCGCTGTCTCCCTCTCTCCTCATGACCCATCCCAACTTTCCCCCTCCCTCCTTTCCTTCCTTCTTCCCCTACTTTCCCCTCTTTTCCCTGTTCCCCCTTCTCTCCTTATTCCCCTCTCAACTCTATCCCCCTTCTTCCCATCCCAATTATTTCTTCCACTTCCTCTTCCTCTCCCCATCCTTCCGACTCCTGTCTCTTCTGCCCCCCCCCCCGCCTCTCTTCCCCCTCACCCCCATTTCTGCCCTCTTTCCCTCCCTGCCTTAGCCCTCTCTCAGCTCATTTTTCCACATCCCAATTCTTTCCCCTCTCTTCCAGTCCTTCTCACTTCTCCTCTCTTCTCTATGTTTCCAGTTTTGACTTTTTGTGGATTTGATCTACTGGTCAACACACATTTTGGTGCCTCCCTTATTAGACCTGTTTCTGAGGCCCCTTCCACACAGCTGAATAAAATCCCACGTTTTCTGTTTTGAACAGGAATATATGGCAGTGTGGACTCAGATAACTGCCCTCCTCTCCCCTCATCTCCTCCCTGCTTTAGCTCCTTTACTCCCCTCTTCCTCTTCCTCCTATTGCCCCTCTCCTGACAACCTTGTGTTTTCATGCCAATGCCAAGATAATAATACACTTTATATTCCGCTTTATCTCAGAGCGGATTACAGTGTACACCTTCCCCCTTTCTGCCCTCCTCTCCCCTCCCTGTTTTAGCTCCTTTACTTCCCTCTTTCCCCACCTTTCCCCCTTCATCCCATTGCCCCTCTCCTTATAACCTTGTGTTTTCATGGCAATGCCAAGATAATAATAATAATAATAATAATACACCTTATTTATATTCCGCTTTATCTCAGAGAGGATTACAGTGTACACCTTCCCCCTTTCTGCCCTCCTCTCCCCTCCCTGTCTTAGCTCCTTTACTCCTCTCTCTCCCCCACCTTTCCCCTTTCATCCCTTTGCCCCTCTCCTTACAACCTTGTGTTTTCATGGCTATGCCAAGATGATAATAATAAACTTTATTTATATTCTGCTTTGTTTCAGAGCCGATTACAGTATACTCCTTTCCCCCTTCTGACCTCCTCTCCCTGTCTTAGCTCCTTTACTTTCCTCTTTCCCCACCCCTTCATCCCATTGCTCCTTTTCTGACAACCTTGTGTTTTCATGGCAATGCCAAGATAATAATAATACACTTTATTTATATTCCGCTTTATCTCAGAGTGGATTGTACAGTGTACAGATATAAGGCATCACCATCAGAATTTCAGTAGCTCTTTAAAAACAAAAACAAAACCAGAAATCTCAGGCATGAGTAAACTTGAGCCCTCCAGGCTCGCTCTTGAGACTGGGATCCCTCCCATTGCTTCTGTGGGAGGCCTTTCCTCCCCCGCCTCTGAGAGGGCGCAATTTGCCCCAGGCTGCCCTGCTTTCCTCCTCTTTACCTATCTCAACTTTCCCCTCCCTTCCTTCTCCCCTGTATTTCTCTTTCCTCTGCTTTTCCTGTTCCCCTCTCTGAACTCTTTTCCCTTTTCTTCCCATCCCAATTCTTTTCTCCTATTCCTCTCCCCATCCTTCTTACTCCTGTCTCCTCTGGGCTCCTTCCTCTCATCCTCTCAACCCCATTTCTCCTTTCTGCCCTCCTCTCCCATCTTCCCCTCCCTGCTATACCTTCCTTACTCCCCTCTTTCCTGATCTCTCCCCCTTCATCCTATTGCCCCATTGCTTACAACCTTGTGTTTTTATTGGAATTGCTGATCACTTTCAGAATTTCAGTAGCTCTTTTTTTTAAAGATATATCAGGCATGGGCAAACTTGGGCCCTCCAGGTTTTTTGGGGATGCTTGACTTGGAACCCCTGTTGTTTTGCATCTACTGGAATTGCTTGCCTTGTTTTTATGAAGTACTTCATATGACAGAGAACTTTGGGAAACTATTTTCACACAGTCATGCCCAGAAAGAGAAACTGGCCTGAGATGCATTATTTGAGAAAGAAAAATACTGTGGAAAAAATGTGTTATCAATACATGCACCCATAGAGTAAGGACTGCAAGAGGGTGATGCAGTTTTCATGAACACCCAGCAAGACCAGAAGTGGACAGCTGAAATGCAGTGTTGTTTGGGATAGGAATGGAAAGAACTTTCACAGACCCATTTGTCCATGACACATTCATCAACCCTATAAAGAAAATGGTCACTTACTATAAGATTGTCCAATAGGTAGGCTTGTGGGAGTTGAAGTCCAAAACACCTGGAGGGCCCAAGTTTGCCCATGCCTAAGATATATACACACACACTGTAAAAAAGACAAATATGTATTCTCTTTCCCCATTTACGTTTTTGTCTTGTGATTGTTGTTTATTTTCCTGGCTCAAAGGCCTCTCTTCAGTTTGCTGGTGGGAGCATCCCTGACGTCTGACATAATATACGTGCATCTCTCTCTCTCTCTGTCTGTTTTCCAGCAGTGTCTGCTGGGATGAAGACGTCTACCTGTATAAAGGGTTTTGGTGGCCCGAGGTGGCCCTTTGTGCAATCTGTGTCAGCCCTCCCTTCCCTTGCTGCCGTAGAGCCGCTTCTAGTGACTTCCTGGCTCTTTGTCAATAATCCACGGGGAGCGTCAAAAGAGCCTCTGTTTTCAGCCTGAATGCTAACATTTTGATATTTTTATGACTTACTTCAGAGCAGTAGATAATATTTCATCTTTTTTTAAAAAAAAATGAGAAAGACTTCTTGGTTTGGAAAACACTGCCTTAAGGGTTTTTAGAAACCGTTGGGTACTTCTTTGCAGTGGTGGGGTGGAGGAGCAGTGATTCCTGAATGACAAGCAAATGTCTTCTGTATGTGCACAGAGGACTGTCTTCTCCCCAACAACCTATATTCAAGGACTACAGCCTTAGGATGAGAACAGATTTCTGGGCTGAGACATAGTACAAATTAAGCCTTGATTCAGGGCCCTATTTTTATCAAGCTCCGATGACCCAGTTAAAGTCAAGCGGCTGATTAAAGTCAGAACAAGGGCTGTGAGGTGGGAGGAGATGAAGGAATGTCTTCAGTCTTTAAATCAGTGTTAAGTTGGCACCCTGGCCAAGAACGACAGGTATTTAAGGTGATCACTCCCTGCCAGTTTGTACAGAATCAATGTAAAAAGAAAAATTGAAAGTCTACAGCAGTTGGTTAGTTTCTGGCTTCCTTGGCCGTGAGCCTGCCTTGTATAGTCCAACAGGGATTGCTAGTAGCACATGCTGTTTGTGTCTATGTGCAGAAAGCCACGTTGTGCTGCCTGGCTTCTGCCACTGCAGTGGGTTAGTCCCTGGTTTCTGGATTAACATTCAGCCTGTAGCATCAAAATGTAGGAGGTTTGATTTTATTCTTCACACACTCATGATTTTTCCTCTCTTCATCTTAAAAGGATTGTAGGCCAAAACACAGTTGGGTGGAAAATGTCTCTGAGAAGCAGTTTATAGTCATAGCATTCACAAGTGATGAAATCAGAACTGTGATGTAGATGAAATAACTTAAAGGAAGTGGGGGAGCTAAATCTGGAAGGTTTTTTCTTTGCTTTAAAAATACTATCTTAACACTTGGTAATTTTTCAAGTCAAGATTTTAAAATGTTAAAACATGATTTAAGTTCTGGGATTCCACAATTTTCAAAGCTATATGTTTTAAAATGTATTGTATTATATTGAGGCAGATGCAAATACTCAAAAGATATGGTTATCTGCAAATACAAAAACATTTTTATGTTTTGATTTTATAGTGGGGTTTTTTTGAGGTATGAAGATTATTCCTAGGTGTTTCAAATGAACTAAAGATTAATTTTTAACAGCTTCTCTTAGGTTGGTGTAGGTACCACTTTTTCTAATACGCATCCTGTTCAAGTAGCACTGCTGATGAAATATTTATTCCTCAACACAAAGTAACTGTCTTGATCTTGGTGGCATTTCCCAAAAGACTTTGAGATTAAGTGTAATGGTTTGGGATCTGTGCTGAGTTTGCAGTTTCATAGTTTTTTGCATTTATGCTTATAGCTGTCCATGGACTATAATTTGTGATGGTAGTGTCTTTCAATTGCAAGTAACCCTGTTCAGATTGAAAGCCCGATAAATGTGTGAGAAAATCTGTAGGAACTGTTTGTACACACTGAATTGTATAATTTGGCAAAGCTATTATCTTCAAAGTGGAGGGGGGAGAACCGTTCTCTTATCATCATGCTTTATGTCTTGTCGATAACATGAACATGCAGAATGCTTATCTTTTTAGTGCCATAAATTGTTTAAGACAATTGGATCAGAATACTTAAGTATCTGACTTCATGTTACACGAAAGCTGTTATTAAGTAGTCTTGTAGAGAGCTTTCTGAGCTCTCTACAAGAGTGACACACACCCATAAAAAGAATAGTCATGTTTTCTTTAGAGGTGATAATTTTTGGTTATGCAATCCTTATGATTAAGTAACACTGGGTCTTGTAAACAGAAATGGACTACTGGTACTCAAATGCATTTGTAAATAGCAGTAATTCCTAGATAGTCTTAAGCTGGTCTCTCCCAGTTTTTAGCTCTGTTAGAGAGGCCTGAAATAAATATTGGTATGGTGAAATGCAACTATTATGTTTCAGTGTGTTTGTGTGGGAAGCATGAAATCATTGAAAATGTACAGTTTAGGTTTGCTCAGAAACTTCATATGGAAGACTTCATATGATCTGTAGACTGCTGAAATAAGGAAATAGATTCACAGCTAAGTCAAGCCATTGAGCTTTGATAGAGTACTGAATTTGGTATATGAAGCTGATTGGTGAAAGAGTTACAGCAAAATTTTACCAGTTAGCAGATTAAACTTGATGGGACATTTATGCCTGTGTCTGTGTTTTAATATATGATCACTACTGTATG